AAAAACAACACACCATTCATAGCTGCTCTCTCTCGTCGACTTCGGTAAGCGAACCGTTTAGTGTTAGTCTCCTGGGACATGGGAAGAAAGAGTGAGCTCAGCGGAGTAGAAGTCTCCCTCATTAGAATAAAAACCCTACGTAGCTCAGTTGCTCCCTGGAAATTTGGTAATCCTCGTCGACTTCGACAAATAAACTATTTAATGCTAGTTTCTTGGCCCGCAGAGCTGGTTGACACCATCGCATTAGACAACAAATGACGTCTTACTTTCGGGGAAGGGGGGGGGAGGGAGGTGATGGTGAAGCATCTTGTTGCTATGAATGCAAATTCAGTCACAACACCTAATTACATTTCCGGTTTTCATGACTCCTTTCTCTCACCGAAAAATGGCGAAACTCGAAAGCGAGTTAGACTACTTTTGGGCATTGTTTCTAATTTCCGTACACTTTATTACGGCATTTTACATTTTTTTAAATGCCATTAACTGGTGGAACACTTGCATGCTAAGACTGACATCCTGGTTGTGATGACTCATTTTATTAACCTTCATAGTATTTCTAGCCTTCAGAATTTCTGCGTATTTTAGTCAGAAATTGGCACACACCGGTCTATTGGCTTTCGGAAACAAACGGGCTCTGTTGTTGGAGGCAAGGGTTATGATCAGGTGGCCGACTATCAGACCGAGGTCGGCCAAGTTATAAGTACAGAGAGGCGGAACTATGAAAAATGCGAGTAGATGGATACAGTCTGTGTTGGACTTATGCTGCCCCGTATTCAGCCAGTCAAAACCCTGACTACCAGCTCGGACTGGAAACACAAATATCTGCATGGATAGTCCACAGAATGGGTCTAGGAGAGGGGTCATAAGTACTTCATTGCACTGAAATTCGTCAGTGTTTCGCTACCTGGCATCCCCTGTCGTTGCATATCAGGTATTTATTCAAGCAGGAAATAGGCTTCTTATGAGTGACGCACGCAATTAACAGACCGCTAACTATCAGGTTAAAATCGGTCGAGTTACAATAACAGATGGGGATGAACGACAGCAAGTCCGAGTAGATTGATCTGATTGCAGTTGGTAGTCCAGATTACAAACGATAAGCCCATAAAAGTACTATATCAATACACCCGTTGCCTCCCTACCGCCCTCCTCTCTGGTATATGAATGTGTTACGCCTAGTTTAAGGGAGGATATTAACTGATACATGTAGCTTACAGACAGGACGAAGTACACTACCAGGCCCTGCGCTCAACCTCATCTCCAGTCGTCTTACCCTTACTACCCCGCCTCGTGCACGCTAGCCTTATTAGCTACGGCTCAGAGTGAATCAGACGCACAGCTTTGGCCTCATTCAGCTCGCGCGAACTTTGACTCAACGTTCGAGCTATTGGTCCGCTGCGCATGCCCGGACGAGCGCTGGCGGTGTTAATTGGGTCTGCATAATGAGCCACCGAATGTTGACCTCTGCGCCAGCCCCCCGTCCACTGGGGGTGGCCGTCGCCTACACGTGTCACGCCTGAAGCCTGTTTGGGTGCGATTACTAGCGTTCACACACGGGTTCTGAGCCCAGGCGTGAACTTTTGAAGTTTTTCGTGATGTTGGTGGTGGTGGTGGTGAAGTTGCATATCGCATCTTGGTTGCACATAGTCCACTGGTCACCTGACATGAATGAAACGAGAGGTAGATCCCAAATGAATGAGGAAGTTCGCGTTCCAGGTATCTGCTTGGATAAGGAAGGAGACGAGTCGAGCACTGGACTCGACTCGTCTCCTTCCTTATCCGAGAGGTAGATCGCTGTGCAAAAAAATGTGTCAGAGGCACTGTTCATTTCGAGCCCGTTTATTCCCTGTGCTCTGGCTGTTCAGGCCGGGTTGCAGGCCCTACAGCGACTAAATAAACTGATGAGAGGCAGTGTTGTCATCTCAATCACGCACACCTGACGGCTTGCTCTCAGCTGCGGGAATATTTGATATATCAGAAGAAATAGGAGCGTTCACCGGGAGAGGTTTATCACAAGCCTGAAGTTTCGGGTAGTTGTCTCGTCTACCCATCTTCAGAGAATGGATAGTCTGGCTCACGGTCCTCGTCTTTTTGCCGTCCTTTCTTGCGTGTGCCTGTTCTACCAACCATGTTTGAGCCACTGTGTGTGTCTCTCGCCGCGTCTTCCGTCTCCTCGTCTGTCTGTCGCCGTGTCGCTTATTTTGGTGTCGGCCCCTTGTGCGTTCGTTCCGTGACCTCTTGTGACACCATGACTGGTGCTCAGAATAAGCATGTTGGCCGCAGCGTTGGCTGACCGCGTGGTAATGCGGCTTGCGCTGGTGTCAGGCCCCTGTGTGTTCGTCCCGTTGCCTCCCGTGGTGTCTCGAGTGGTTTCCGATATGCACACGTTGATATAGATTGCAAGTCGTAGGCTCCGACAACGAGCTCCGCTGGACCAAAACGTAGGTAAAACTGTGTCACAACACGCGTTAATGAAGCCACGTGTGATCCGCGTAGACCGAGGACTACTGCCGCACACGGAGATGAAGACTTCACTCTACACCAGCCACTGCGCCCAATTTCAGCGCCAGATGGCTGTCAGGCTCGGACAGTTGACTGATGCACTGAAAAAGGATGAAGGAGTGAAGTTGGCTCCGGGACTCCATACCCACGACACTTCGGCTCATCTCCCCTCCCGATAAGGAATCTAAATTGCTTGAATTCATCACGACACGCTAAAGGTCGTGCCTTGAAAGGCTGTCAACTGATAAAGTAACTCTGTCCCCTCGAGACGGTAATTCTAATCCAATGACTTCTTTTGCATATGGCCTCTATGCAGCTGCTACGTAGGTAAGATGCGCGCCGCCCTGTGTGAACGTCCGGTTCATTCTGTGGCGATTGACAGTTTGATCTTCGAGTTCGACGATGTCCATTGTATGCTCCACCACAAGGTGGTACAGGGACGGTGACTTGCGCATGAATTAGTTTTACGTGATAGTGGACTTTCGCAGCGTCTACCGCACTCTCTCTTCCTTCACCTACATGTGC